GAGCTGCTGCTGCACGAGGCTCCCCAAGCGCCGCTCCGGCTCGTGCGGGGCCTGCGGAGCCAGCCCGAGCGTCCGCGATAAATCCCGATTTAATGCACGGCGCGGGGGTGGCGCGTGCAGGGATGAACCCTGGCCCTGCTGGGAGCCGCTCTGGCATTAACCTCCGGAGCGACGGTGGCTCCGTGCGAGAGGGTTTGGAGGCAGGTGGAGCGGGTAGAGCAAGGCAGCAACACCCGCATCTCGAGCTAGAAGGGCCTTGAGCCTCTGAGCCCGTGTCCGAGATGTCGTGGGCTCTCCAGCAGATGTTTCCTAAAGATTGACTTGCAATTGGAGGGTGTATCAGGAGTTTGGGAGAAAGCAAAGGTGCGGGGGCTGAAAAGCAGCCCTTTGGGAGGGCTTTGTGGGAAGAGGTGGATGGGCTCCCCAGGGCTGTGTCGGAGCCTGCCCTAGCCTGGAGTTTCAAGCCCAGGTGTTTCTTTTCTCTCCTGCAGATTTTTCCAACCAAGTCAATTCCACGTCCCTGAACTCTCCGACGAGCCGGGGCCCCATGGCCGCCCCGTCCCTGCATCCGTCCATCGGGCCGGGCATCGGCTCCTCGCTGGGCTCCCCGGGGCAGCTGCACTCGCCCATCAGCACCCTGAGCTCGCCCATCAACGGCATGGGGCCCCCCTTCTCCGTCATCAGCTCCCCCATGGGCCCGCACTCGATGTCCGTCCCCTCCACGCCCAGCCTGGGATTCGGAACCAGCAGCCCGCAGGTAAACGGGGGGGACAACAGGGGCTTTAAGGTACCTGGCCGTGGGAAAGGAATCACTTCCCGCGGGATGCGGCGTGAGCCAAGAGGGGCGGGTTCCTGTCCCAGCTCCCTTCCTGCCGCATCCAGCCCCGGCTCCGCAGGGACCGGCAGCAAGAGGGGCTGGAGCCGCATCCAGCCCCTGGCCGGAGGATCCGCAGCGGGAACAGCTCGGGGACACACATAGGAGCCAAAGGGAGGGCAGAAGCAGAAACCCAACAGGAAAACAAACATCCCAGTGGCGACTACCCCCGGGGCAGCTGAGAACTGGCTTTCCCATGGCCTAAATTGAAGCAGGTTTCGGGCTGGCTGGAAGCGGGGCCGCTTCCCGAGCATCCCCTCCATGCAGGGCTCCCTGCCCTCTTCACGGGAGGAGGCTCAGCTGTTTGCTGATTGGAGATTATGTAAAAAAACCCCTCCAACTCTCCCGAGATAAGCTCTTTTTAAAAATAGCAGGATCGGGGAGAGCTGGCTAGCCCCCGCCACCTGTTGCTGGCTGCTCGCACGTTATATGTTTAGTAAAAGGGCAGATTAAGGAATTGGCTACCACCTGCCACTCACTGCTGGTTTATTTATTCCCGAGCCTTGCTGGGAGTCAAACACCTGCCGGCACCTTTATTTTTAAATATTGGCCTGATTTATTTCCAGAGATAACAGGTCTTCCTATCGGGTGCCCGGGGAGGGACGTGCTGCTGCGCTCGGGCTGCATTTAGCCCAGCGCCAGGGCTTGCTGGGTGGCTTTGCTGGCCCTGCAGCCAGTGCTGGCTCGTGTGCCCCCGGCCGTGACCCTGTTGTTGTG